TACTTGGAGCGGTACTTTCGTTTAATTGCTTTTGCTGCATATCTTGGAAGTGAAGCTTTTGATAGGATCTGCGGACAAGGAGAATGTTTGATGACATTTAAGAATTGGTTGCATCAGAGACCAGAGGTTCAAGCAATGAAATGGAGTATAAGATTATGGCCTGGGCGATTTTTCACTATTCCTGTAAATCTTCCTCTCTCTCTATAGAACCAAGTGAAAAGCTTAATCTATACAATTTTCCTAAGATTGCCACATTTTTATATTTTTATCCTTTGTTTTGAATATGCTTGTTTAACTAATTTTGGTTTTTGATTGCAGGAGGAGTTAAGAACCCCACATGAATTGCAACATGGAGACGCTGTTATGGAAGCCATTGTAAAGACACGGAATGGTTCTGTTTTGGGGAAAGGCTTTATACTTAAAATGTACTTCTTTCCTGGTCAGAGAACTTCCAGCCACATCCAAATTTATGGTGCACCACATGTTTTTAAGGTTTGGTCGAAAGAAAAATAACTATCTTCAGATTGGTATGCCATAAGGCCATTTATTTGTTTAGGTCATTCTGGCATATATATATATTTAGCATTCTCCTATATGTTTTAGAAATTTTTTTTAGTGATAATTGTTCATATGATAGGAAATTTCTTGTTAAAACTATCGTGTGCATTACAGTAAACAAGTGCATATTTCCCTTTTTCAAGAGTCCATTCCCACATGTTAGCATAGTTCAGTGCTCTCATCCTATCCTGAATTTCTAGGTGTTGATGATTAGCATGCATCTTCTTGGTCCTAAGTTACATATAATTGTAGAAATAGAGAAGAAGGTTTTTGGAACAGCAAAGAAATTGAATTTTCCGTATTTTCTCACTTAGAAAACTATCACTTAGGTTAGGCCTTACATAGGCAGATTTACAAGGAAGATAAGAGTTAGCTTAATCTAATTAATATCCTATTTAATCTCTTAATTAAAGATGTAGAGTACAAACTAAATAGAAAATAAAACTAACAATTAAGTTAAAATAAAATTCTAACAATTAAGTTATGAGGCTACAATCTTCAATAATCATTCAAACCTGTACATTCAGGTGGATGGATACCCTGTTTATAGCATGGCAACGCCAACAATTACTGGCGCCAAAGAGATGCTAGCATATCTAGATGCCAAATCCGTTGCAGGAGTTGATGGTAAGAAAGTGGTGGTAACTGATCTTAGAGAAGAGGCAGTTGTGTACATTAATGGCACGCCATTTGTACTGAGGGAGTTAAATAAGCCTGTTGATACCCTAAAGCATGCCAGAATTACTGGTCCAGTGGTACGTTGTCTTAACATTTGTCCACTTTCAGCGGGAAGCCATTTAGCATCATTATTTCAGCCAACTTCTTGAATTGTGAAAAATGATGCAGGTGGAACACATGGAAGCACGGCTAAAGGAAGATATATTGTCTGAGGTCAGACAGTCTGGTGGTCGAATACTTTTACATCGTGAAGAATTTAGTCCATCAACAAATCAGTCCAGTGTTGTAGGATACTGGGAAAACATCTGTGCTGATGATGTGAAGACAGCTGCTGAAGTATATGCTGCTCTAAAAGATGAGGGTTATAATATAGAATATAGGAGGATTCCATTAACTAGAGAGAGGGAAGCTTTAGCTTCTGATGTGGATGAAATCCAGAACTGTCGAGATGAGTAAGTACACATGTCTCTAGTCAGTGCTTCGTTCATCAGTCTATTGAAGTTTTAGTTGCATCTGATTCTGCCTGCATCTGTTCATGCATGTTTGCACATGAGTGTCTAGTCAGGGCTATCTATCAATTAACATCGTTTTATCTTTGGATATAATGTATTAATGGCCTTTTGGGTGAATGATGTGTAGTGTCTGGCTTTATGGTCATTTTGGGAATTTTGCAACCAATTGAAATTTGTCAATATGAATAGATATCAGTTATCGGCCGTCGGCATTTGTAGTTTTGAAAAAGCCAAAGCATTTATTAAATATCTTTATTTTATCAAGACCGCATTTTCAAACACCAGGACCATTGTAGTTCATTATGATACCAAGAATTCAAAGTATTATCTTTTGTTATTGCTTAAGGGGACTTTGAGTTAAAAGGTATTTACCCGAAAGGGGACTGTGACTGGATATGTTCTAAACTTGTTCCTTCAAATTAAATCATTATGTCTTCTACAGCTCCTCAGGGTGTTACCTTTATGTATCACACACTGGATTTGGAGGAGTTGCATATGCAATGGCAATCATTTGCTGCAGACTTGATGCAGAGGTGAACGTTGGAACATCCAGTGCACAATCATTGGGTGATGCACATCTACATTCTACACCTGAAGAAAACGTGCTATCCTGCACTTCTGATGAAGAAGCACGAAGGATGGGCGATTATCGTGATATACTAAATCTTACAAGAGTTCTCATGCATGGTCCCAAAAGCAAAGCAAATGTTGATATCATTATTGAAAGGTCTGTCTCATACTCATTAGTTTTCTTTTTCCTCTTTATTTAGATATTAAAGAATCGAATGAAGTTTATCTTTGCACTCTTTTACTATACTTGCGATATATATAATCAGCTTAGTGGTTCAGCTGGTCCAGAGAGCAAAAGGATGGATTACTGCAATGATTTTCTTCTTTCTTTTCTTTTTGTCTTCCTGGAATCAGTTGAACATCCCACTTATCGGCTTTTAACGCTTTAATGGTGCTGAGTTTCTGCTATTCTTTTGTGAAGGTGTGCTGGTGCAGGGCATTTACGAGATGATATCGTTCATTACAGTAAGGCACTTGAGGAGGTCCACAATGATGATGATGAGCATCGAGCATACATCATGGATATGGGCATTAAGGCTATGAGGTTAGTTCTTGCATAATTGCATCTAAGAAAAATTCGATTTCACTGCCCACATCAAGTGGCTTGCCCGTTGGTGTTAGTGTTTGTGTTTTGATCGATGGGTTCGACAAAAACCAGGTTCAAGGCCATGGTCCTGCTTTTATTTTATGGTTAAATAGTTCTAGTGTTCTAGTTTGAGTTTAGGTTGCTGCTGCTAAGATTTGAAACGTAACAGGGTTTGTTTTTCATGATCTGTATACTCGTATCTGTTTTTACTTGCAGGCGCTACTTTTTCCTCGTCACATTCCGATCATACCTATACAGCACATCTCCGGCTAAGACAAAATTCACAACCTGGATGGAAGCAATGCCAGAATTAGGACATCTCTGTAACAATCTTAGAATCGATAAATAGTTTTGACAGATTATAATGGTCCTCAATTTTCAAATGTATGTATGTACGCATGTGTATTTATGTATGATGTATAGGTGTCAATGCCTGTATATAGCCTTTCCATTCAGGATTGGTTGCTTTACATACAGAGAGGGTTGTTAGAGTTCTATCTCGAGCTTTCGTCACTCGGCTGATGGTGTTTAGAAGCCATCTCTTTGGAGCATAGGCAGCTTAAAAATTCATAGGATCATACAAGTTTACAACTAAAGTATCAAACTGACCCAAAAATATTGTATTCGGATAAGAATTCAGATTGCAAGAGTGTCGAAACGATTTTTTTACCGGTGTGGGGGCGAGATTTTGAAAACCACGTCATTTTTAATTATTCTCTTTTTAATTGAATTTTTAATTAAAAATAATGTGATTTTTAGAAAACCTCTTGTTTTGAAAATTTGGAAATCCTTTTACGATAAAAATATATGGTTTAGGGAGTCGTCACCAATCTTTGATTAGGGTGTGATTGGGCACCCAAAAACGTTGTTATTTTAAATAAAAATTAATTTTAATTAAAACGACAAATTTACGGTCTACGTTACCAAAATCCAAGTTCGGGAGTCGATTATGTGTAGAGAAGGATTAACACCCCCACAACGCCCTAAATCGATACCTAGTCGATTAATTAATGTCTTTGCAATGAATTTCACAAGTTTAATTTGATTAATGATCCCTTTAAACAACAAAAATGCTAATTTTATAACATTCAAAAACAACGAAATAAGTTAAATTAAAATTACCAAGCCATTAGAAAGATAAAGAATGTTCGATTATTTAAATATATTGAGACCAATCTTTAGGTCATTCTAACGACATTTTCTCAACAAATTTAAATAGCCGAACATTTCTTTTTCTTTCACTCCCAAATTTTATAGTGAAGAATCAATTTTTAGTGACAATGACGGATACACTTGTAATTTAAAACCATTAAGAACAATTTCCCTGTAAGTTAAGAAAAGCTATTATGACAGTTTTAAATTAAAAAGGTATTACCTTAATTAAATTATGTAATTAGCTCAAGTTGCATATGAGGACAACATGAATAAATTATCATATATAATAATCCAATTAACAAAAAATATATACAAAATATTCCAACAATGCAACACTTTAATATAAAAATTATATACATATTTTATAACTAAAAATTACATATTATATTCATAGTTATATTTAATGAACAAATATGACTATAACAAATAAAAATATAACACAACAAATTATAAATTTCAGATAATAATTATATTTACTAAAACGAGGACTAAACAATATTAAATAAAACTTTAAAACTTAATTACAAATAAAATAAAAACTAAAACACCAATACTAAACAAAAATAACGACGCAACTAAAATAAAACAAATCACCATCATACCGGGTTAACATTGAAATAAATCCTAAACACATAATCAGGATTAAAAAGAAATATGCACAAACTTAGAGGTCAAATATCTAAAAACATAAAGAATTAAATACACTAACATTTGGGACTAAGATTAAAGATGCAAAAACTATGGAAACAAAATTATAAACATACAAACTTCAACCTAGGGACTAAAATGCATAAAACTGGAAATTGGAATGGCTCATTCCATAGATAACCCATGCGCCAAATGGGTACCCTATATCTCCTCAACGACGCCGTTCTAGAAAAAATATATATATGTAATATTCTGAGTAACCTAAATCCTAGCCTCATTTCTACTAAATTAGCCCCCCCCAGCGCCGTTCTTCTTCTCTACTCATCTCCACATCCCTTTCGGCCTCTCGCCTCATTTCTCTCGACCGAGAGCCACAAGGCTCACCTCAGCGCTGCCGATAGGCCACCAACGGTGATGGCCAAACCCTCAGACCAACAAAGGTTCGAACAAACTAGGTAAAATCTCCTTCCCCTCTCTTCTCTTCACTTCGAACGACGCCTCTCTTCTCCCCTAACTCTCTATTTCACTTTTCAGAGAACCTAAACAGAGGCTAAAACCACCACGGTCACCATGGTCGTGGATGCTATGGGCTCCGATGAGGGACCCGACGTCTTCTTCACAACTCACACCCCACAGACACCTAAACCGGACCAGGACTTCTTTCTCAGCCAACCCGAGGCCAAACGAAAGACAAACCTAAAGGTAAACAAGCTAACTAACCTCCCTTCTATCTATTCCTTTAGTTATCTTTTTTAGATTTAAGGACAAGCTGTAAAAAATAAAAAGAAGAATCTAGATACCTCCGATTTGAATCGTTTATATTGCTTTCGAAAGATGGGGAAGACCCCCGTTACACTCTGTTTACGCGGGTTTCAGAACACCCTCTATTACAAGAACAGAATTTCCCTCTTTTTCTTTCCTAAAAAATGCCCACCGTTGTTGATGAACACCCCCCTTGTTTGCTGTTGAAAAAAAATGGTTTCGTTCCCCCCTTTTCTGTTGTGTTCCTACTCCATTTTTAATTGCTTTCCTTTGTTGCAGCCTCGGGTTTGGTTCCAAATTTACAGGGCACGGGCGACAGCCACGATTGGCGTGCTCGCATGTCATGGGCAGCAGTAGAGAACCGAGATGTTCTGCTCGGGTTTGGTGCTGGCATGAGCAGCTGCTCGGTTCTAGTGTTTCACGTGGGAGACAGCTGCTAGGGAGCTGTGCTGCACGTGGGAGGCATGGGCAGCTGTGGAACCGAGCTTGGCTTGTTGGTGGAAACATGTGCAAAGCTTGGGGAACCGAGTTGTTGGGGGTTTCACGTGGGCAACTATGACGTGGAGCAGGGCCTTGCTGTAAACGGTTTGGGTCAGTGCTTGTCTTGAGCTGCTGCGTGTTGGAGCTTCACATGAGTCGGGTTCAATTTGTTGGGCCAGATGTAACTGGGTCTTGTAATTGTTGATGGGCTTGAATCTTGAACTTGCATTTAATTTGGCTTGTAATTGGACTTCAAAGGTGTAAATGGACTTTAGACACTTAAATTTGTATTTGGGATTAAATTTCAATTTGTGCCTCAATTTCCAAAATGAACATATATGGTTTTAGTCCAATTAAACACCTCAAGCTTTCAAATGCAAACTTCCATGATTTACCATTTGAAATAATTCATCTCGAGCACAAACATCTTCAAATTAATTCTCGATCGTCTTCAAATGAATTTAAATGGTCCGGAAAAATTAGGGTATTACAAAGAGCTTTGTTCTTTTTAATTTCCAGGTTTCATTGGTTGATTTGATAATTATTAACTATGTTAATTTTAGTTATTATAACAATATGTCGAATGATAGTTCAAATATCACATTGGATATCTTGTCGAAGTATATGTATCATATTGAACAATTTTAAAGTATAGCTATCACATTAGATATTTTGTCAAAGTACGTATCATATTGAATATTTTAAAAGTACAGTTATCACATTGAACATTTTATAAAAATATAATCAAATGTATCATTATTTTATTGAAAATTTGATTGAATTTATTTCGGTTGACATTGTCACTGGTACTGTACACAAAGGGCGTAGGATTAAGTAGGGATGGAGTTAAGATCATACATCACGAGGGGTTAAATTGCTTTACATATGAAAAAACAATTTTTATTACTTATTTAAATCTAAAAAATAGGATTAAAATGAAAATATTATTTAATTAATATTTAAACTAAAAGACTTAAAATATTATTAAACTAAAAAAAATTTACTCGAAAAATCTATTAATGACTTGAAAGTCTTGACATCGTACCTATAAATCATACACATATCCCAAGGTTCTTGAAGGACATGTTCTTAAACATTATTTTCTCAACATTATCATTTATTTAATGTCATCATTTTGTTAACTCATATTTCATGTAACACAACACAAATATGAATTATATTAATAGCAGTAAAATAGGTCATGCCTACAGTCTGATATATGCTAAAACTTTGTATTATCTTTATTTCAATAAATAATTTTTTTATACGTTAGAGATTGTGACCTAAATTTTATTTAATTTGGTTCAAATAATTTATTATGTGACCTAATTGGTAAATACATAAACTGAGAAAAAACTATAGAACTATGATGGATGTGGAAGCTCTTGAATGCACAATTGCATAGGGTTTTCTAGTTATACAGGTTTCAGTGTACATACAACTATAAATACCTACCTATGGTTTCTAGGTTAAGAGAATGGTTTTGTACATAACATGGTATGTTAAGGGTTTTTTTTGGGTGCGTTTCTTGTAATTTCTCTTGTATCTTCAACAAAATAAGTGAGTTAGTCATACCATGCGACATTGATGTTCTTTTTAATTGCTTCTCACTAGCACGTAAACCCTCTATTGAATTTATTGTTAATCGTTTTCTGAATCTTTCGTCTTAACGACATCAAACCTTTGTCGAGAGGCTCGTCTTAAGGTAAGATTCAATCGAATAATCCGACAATATAACGAGGTGGTTAGCCAACTCGATGCATCCAAAGAGAAAGAAAAGGTGTTTGCTCATAAGGCAAGTGGGAGTCAGAGAGAAGACAATTTTTGGTGGGAAGCTCCCATTGAAGAACTTAACCCAAAGGAGCTAAAAGAATTAGATGCTGCTTAGTTTAATCCATTTACTACCAACATGAATAAACAAGTCCATGTTACCTTTACGGTTGTGGTTGATCTTTCTTGAATTATGAATTTGAAGATTTGTATTTTATTTAAATTATAATAATGAAATGCATACATTATGTTTAATGTCTTTAATGTTAGAACCAAATCATAATAAATATGAAAACTAACCAGGATCTAATCATGTTAAACCATCAAGAATAAAATAAATTAGATTTGCAGAAGCGTACTTGAATTGATCGATAGGTTGAAATCATTGAATATTTATTTAGTTGTGATCTTCTAAGAAGATAGAATTATCTTAAGTATAAACTCTCAGACGGGGTAAGAGTAATACGAGATGATATATTTCTTGGTACCATAACCCATTTATATAGCTGATTTAAAAATCAATTATTGTCTGTATTTATAACTATGTCCCTCATCAAATTATAAATACAACTTTAATAGTATCTACACTTTTATCTTCATGACACTTATAATACCTTATGACTTTATAACATAATTGGTCACTTAATTTATGTTATATTTTATGATAAAAATATACAATAAAAATATGTGCCCATAATTATGGATTTTAATCCAACAATTTCCCACTTGGACAACATATGTTTCCTGATAAATGTATAACCTTATGAGCTCAAAATTTTCTATTATGCAATATGTATTCTATAACAATCTTGTCCATCAACTATATCCATATAGGATCAAAGCGGCCTTTGACATATCAATCATGACTAGACCTATCAATGGTCACGTATACAAACACAATCAAATGACATATATCAATTATGGAGCGTAGCATGGAAATTACATGCAATGTGAATTGTACATGTCTATTTCCAACTGGTCCTCTTTAATGAGATCAAACTTTTTACCAAAACCAGAGTGTGGATAAACCAAAACAAACTTCATTTCTGAAAAAATAACCTTAAAAAAATATCCTTAAACTGAAGTAACTAAAATTGTGTTTATAACCATTGAACATTTAAATTATAAACTCTCACTAAAACTGAATATCCTTAAATGATATTACACCCACATGAGTAGTGTGCTCATGAAAGACCTAGGGTGACAGTTTCTTAGTAAGCGCGCAATAATGAGTTTGTATCAGTATGCTCTATAAAGGATTGTAATTTTATTGTCACAAAATAACTCAAGTGATCTTTATTATCAATCCATAATATACAGTTCATGGGACAAAATTTTACATCCATATTTCAATAAGTCGAAGTCCATAAACCTAATGATCTTTTGCTTACTAGATCTCCGATATGTGAGCATGTAATATTTTTGTTCTTAACTGTATTGTATGAATAAATTTGACTGCTATCCAACGATCCAGACCCAAATTGCTTAAATATCTGCTTAATATCCCAAAATTATACGCTACGACTGAATGTGTACAACCTAAGTATACATTAAACTCTTCATTTATTTATGAAGTATAAGGAACATTTTTAGCATTTCTTAATTTCAAAATCATTCTTAGGGGACTAGTGAAAACTAAACTTGTTCCTTTTAGCAATAAGGGTTATCACTTGGTTTACTCCACTGAACTTGTTGTATATACAATAGTCAACCAAATTTATCTCAAAACCAAACAAGATAATCACTTGATGAAATTTGTTATACAATTAACGGGAGTCATACCTAAACTCATAAATGGATTTTCTTAATTTGTATATCATTTTTGTATCATTAGACACAATTTTCTAATTGCACCGTATAAAATATCTCATCAATGTCATCATTGATAAACAAAATTTTGAAATCCAACTTATGTAAATCAAGACCAAATATGAGCAACAAGTATCATGATTATCCTAAAAGAGTATTTTAATGAAACCAAAAGGAAAGTCTCTATAAAACTAATACACTTTAGTAAATCCTATCGGGCAACATATGCATAACATACTAGATCATCCTAGCCATAGAATAATTTATCCCCGTAGCAAATCCAACCCAAGTGCCCCGTTAGAAGTCTAATTGTATGAGGTTTCCAGTCTATTTACAGAGTTTTGACAACTTTATCCTTAGCAACTTTTGTTTATTTACTATCGCATATTTTTGTTGTCACGACAAAATTTATCAACTTACTTCACTTCACACTTTTCTTGCCTCGACAAACTTTTTCCATCTGTTCATACCATTTGCCACTGCATATTTTCCTTGTTTATATCATTAGACTTAGATACTTAGGATTAGTTAGTGACACCTATTCCTAGCTGTAGCAATCTTTTGAAAACCCTCCAATCCCTGTGGAGACGATACTCACTCACTACTATATTATTTGCATCGATTGTGTATACTTGCACAGATTTACGTGCCACAACACACACATCTACACGCGATCACTGAGTATATTCTTTAGATGCAAGATATGTCTTATACTTGTCAACATCACCATTTGCATCCATCTTGGTTTTAAATATTCATTTGCAACCAATCATCTTTGCACCTTCAGGTAATGAAACAAGTTCTCAATCTTTATTATCTTGTATAAACCTTATACTCTTCTTACATAAAATTAATCCACTTTTGAGAGTCAGAGCTTTTATGACATGACGAAAGTTGATTAGATCATCTTCAATTATTAATAATATTTCTCTCATCTCATGGATCTTCAAAATGACACTTGTTCTTTAAGGTTGTTGAGTTTGTTCTTCAGTAACATTTTTTTAATCTTGAATTGAGAGTTGTTCAATATTATGTTATTGAGGTTCTAGATTCACTTCTTGATTAACGACATTTATGAACACATGTATATCTTCAAAAGTGATAATACGAATTGAGTTATAATTCAATTCCCCTAAAAGCAATCCTTAAACCTTATTTCTCCCTCCAAACTCAACATCCTCAAAAATAATGTTATAAATCTCATCTTAAAATTATTCCTAATTATGAGATCATAAACTTATAACTCTTGAATCGCTCAGAATAACCAAAGTAGTTGCTTACTATTTTAGAATTTAATTTCTCCTAATATGTCTTAACTTATCTTAAAAAATAAAACCCTTTATAACACATTGTTGTCTCTTTTGAGTTGGACCCTTAACAACTACATTATGATTTTATTTTTGTCCTTATCTTTATATGCACTTTTCAAATGAGTACTTTCAAACTCATTATGCTTCAACCTCTTCCTCTTACACGGAATGAAAAATAAGCTCATTTAGAGTTCATTTCTCCATTTTAGTTGATTAAACTCAATAGGAAGCGATATTGAAATCACAAGAACAAGTAATTCTTCAAAAAAACTCGATCTCAAGTGCCTTAAGACTTGAAGCAATATGAAACATATTCATAATGTACTCCCCATATTTCCTTGACCCTTATACTTTATAGACATCTAAGAAGTAAAA